CCAGGTCGGTTCCCTGAAATCCTTCATCGGCATTTGCACCATCTGTAAGGGCCCATTCAACAAGATCCAGAAACCCGGCGGCCGCGAGTTTTCGTAATATCCATTGCATTATATATGGACGTCGCCAAGTTGCTTTCACCTTCTTTGTCTTGATGAGGAGCCTCGTTACGTTCTCATAACGCTCTTCTGCTGCCCAACAGCACAGCTGTGAGATATGAGTCAACTCGTTCTGTTCCACGACATCCGATAATTCATCATCTTTGGAGAAGATGGCCTGTGGTCCTAGCATTGTGTCATTTCTGCTGCTGATGCGGCTTAGAAACGCCGACAACCTAGTCTCTCCTACTGCTCGGAACTCCCTGGATTGAAGAATATGTTCGAAGTCACTGAGCACTTCTTTGACCCGCTTTTCTGATGGATTAATCCAATGACCATCTATGCATATGAGAGCACAATCCCAACGTCTGGATAGATCATCGAGATATTTCTCCGTGCCCGAGGCTGGTTCTTCCAATTCCCAAGATCTTGACTCAGCCCACGCTGCAAAGGTGTCAAAAAAGGTGTCCGACCCAAAAGCATACTTCCAGTCCCAAACAAGGGTGAAATCTCGTTTTAGTGAGTGACATCCCTCAACGATCTTTTTGCACCAGAGCCGTTGGTCCGATTCTGACTTATCCTTGAGTTTTTCGATCCAAACAGCTGCAACAAGAACAACCGAATAGTCCCGGCAAACTCTTATGATAGTAGGGTGCGCAGCACCATCCAAAAGACATACGAGGTCACCCTTGCGGACCGGAACTGGTGTAGCTTGGATAGACCACGTATTCCGAAATATGTCGTGCTCTTCTTTAGACAAAGAGTCTTCGCTGATTGATGAAGTGCGTGCCGGGCTTGGTTCTCCATCATCCGAGAAGGATTTGGAATCTTCGTCATTTCCATCATTCCGCTCATAAATCAAAGAGTTAATGTAAAGGCCATTGACCAACCCCAGTTTTATCATCGTTGTGTGACCTGATCGCCGAGTGTCTTTCACATCCTTGATTTCTGCCATGACATAGCCCGTGCATCCAATGACAGCGGCTTGTTCGTCGCCTTGACACTCAAGTGTCATCCTATCAGAGATCATAAACTTAACAAGTCTCTTGAACAACTGAGTGAAATCAATTGTGTAGTCAGGTAATAAACCCGATGTACCCATGTCTTTCGAACTCATCCCAAGCAAAGCGAACACTTTATCATGAGCTTTCGTTGCTTCGCGGTCATGGAACATCTCGATGAGTTGCCTAAAATGGAAGAAACCTTCAAGGGGGGTGCCAGGACCTTGATATGGTCGTCTGAAAATTGACTGCTTCATCAGATAGGCGGCAGATTGAGTGATATTGAGCAAATATTGCAACTCGGGACGAGACTTCAGCGATGGCCTGAGGAGATCTAGCACTTCGCTGAATGCATACCCATCCATAACAGAACCACCATCATGTATCTGGATACGTCGAGCGGCACCGACTTCTTGAAGAACCTGAGTTAATTAGCTTTTTTTTTACTGCAAAATATAACGGGCAATAGTCGTGTCATTACCCAAACCCGACGGAACCAGGCCCGCTGGAATAATCTGACAATCCTATCCGACGCCAAATCGTCCTGCTCAGCGTCGTCGAGCATTTTTTGTCTCGCGATGAGTAACTCTTCAAACACGTGCTGGCTTCCATCCTCGGGCCCCCCAAGCGGGCCCTCTCCAAGCCAAACAATGACACAACTTGCGCAGGCATAAATTTGGTACATCAGACAGATTTGACTCTCTTTTTCTCGATCATCTGTCTGATTGATGCAAATAGCGTCCACCCAGCACAATCGCTTGTCATATCGATGCCTGAGATGTGTGAGGGCTCCATATAGGTTGGGTGTGATAGGAAGCATAGATTCATTGAGTGAGATAGAGTAACCTGGCTCCGGAACACCCCATACGTAGGACAGGGATTCGTACGAGTTTCGTTGACCGTAGAATTCCTCTATGTTGCACTCGAATAGCTGACCATGAAGGGGTGCGTTCGGATCAGCGTTCGGCAGAAGCCAAAGTAGTCGGATGCTGGTTGAAGCAGTCAAAGCCTGATAGACATATAGGGGCTCCATGGCGGCCAGTGGGTAATCGTCTAGGAATTCACAGGCTAGGAAGTCGGAAGAAAAGATGAAATTCCAGGTGTCGGTCTCAGGCACTTGCTATGCCCATTGACATATATCTGTTTACCTCAGGCAGGAGCCGAGCGAGCTGGGCCACAGCCTCGTGAAGCGGGGTAACTCACTCACCCAAGGCATTTCCACACTGTATCCGGGCGACAACAGCCGCGTCAGCGTTGCGCACGACGCATATGGTTTGGATAGGCAGACGTTTTAACAGTGGATCAGCTTCCATTTTTGGAATTGGCTGCTCCATCATTCAGTCGATCAGACTGCCATCGCTCGCCGGCCCGCATTTCCACCCTCCACGGATAGCAGAAATGGTACAACGATATGGATCAAGCCAACGAGAACATTCCATGCGCATCGCGGGACGTGATTTTACGCGGTTGCTTATGGGCAAAGTCGGGGTAAGTGGTACTTATCATAGGTAGTTATTGATGCGACAAGTATCCCAAATGAAGTTTAATTCCAAGATGATTCTTCTTCTAATTCGGATGTCAAAAGTCCTTCCCGCACGTCCAACAGTCTGCAGAAGGCTGTACACGGTTAGCCACAGGCTCCCTCCACTTGTGGCGTAGCAAGTATCACCGGAGTTGCGGAAGACTGGACCTCCCTCACGAGCTATCCGCAGATAAGGTGTTTATGGGATGTTGGATGATTTAGGTTCTTTCGAGTTGATCCAGTAGATAGATGATACGCAAAAATTAAATACTATAATGAACGAAAAGCAAAGTCTCAACCTCGAACATAGTAAGTATAATAATTTTGTATTAAGAGGACGTGCGATTCTTTTTCAGGCGTCTGTATAGCGGATGAGACATTTTGCAAGACTGACTGGCAAGTATCGCTCTTGCTAATGCCGGACGAAATGTCGAGTCCGATGAAGTCGGGAATTAGCGTTCCGACGGCACCAGTCCCCATGGGTATGAAAACATCTCGTTTTCGGAGTCTATGTGAAGTGATTCCACGACTCTCAAGCTCCCTGCTGATGATGAGAAGCTTTCTCTTGGTGACATTGAGTTTTCGGAGACCAAATGCACACCCAATAAGTGTTGCGCCCGAAGACGCTGGGACGCCTATGATGCTTCCACCTATGGTACAATATGCTCCTATCTCAGCCCGAATCTTGGCGATTTCCTCGTCTTGAATTTGGCATTCCGTGCACTCTCTTATCCGTAGAGTATATTCCTCCTCATCGAATGAGACCAAATCTTTGACTCCCATTGTTCATCCCCCCCCCAGTGTCTGTGCCCAGGTTGGTAGCGTGCTTTTGGATAACATACCGTCGTCTTATCGAAATGAAAAAAAGTTCAATATTTCACATGGCATGCTTTATAGCCAAGACGACCGGGTTCAACGAAATGCTTCGGATTATTATCCGCTGGCAAACCTTAATTCCGGGATTCGGTGGAGCTAATCAATAAGCCTATACCTTGACCCGTGATCCACCTCAGGGGCTATACACAACGGCAGACCCAAATATCTGCTGTCAAAACTGAAATCTTGGACTGCTTGGCTGCCGGACTTAACGTTGCCATCGGACCGAAGCATCTAAGTCAAGATGTCTCAAGTAAGTAGTGATTGACTTGGACTTCGAGTCATGTATTTAAACGCGTTTCTACCTATATCCATTGACCTGCATGCGTCAACGATACCTTGCAAGGCTCGTTTTTTGGAGCTGACAAAAGAAATGGTGGTTTACAGGGATGAAACACAGTGATGAACTCACTCGCTCAAATACGAATGAGCGATTTGTGTCAGATCAAACAGGCATTTTGGTGGTGGAACAATCTTTGTTAGCCTTCCATTCCAAGAGGATATCTTAGCTGGTTAGTCTAAACTCCAGAGTAGAGCCCGACTCCGGTAACGCCGGGTGGTCCTGACGGTGGAGCAGCGATGTTGAATCTGCCTTTTCATTAAACTTGGCAGTGGGAATGACGTCTTTGTAAGCTTAAGTCTTTTTCCAGAAAAAAAGAAAATCGTAAGCTGTCGAATAAAGGGGAAGAGAATCAGGCCCAGTCTTTCTAGATAGTGATGAATGCTTATCGATCATAGCCGTAGCTCAGAAAACTTTTTCTTTCTTTTTTAATCACACTACGTCCCAATTAGACGTATGACCGCGGCAACTAATACGAATTGATGGCTGTGTGGTAAGAAAAGCTTGTGTTTCTAATTGCGCGAGCTATGCAGCATCTACGCTAAGAGTTTTGTTGATGTCCTTGTCCTTGTCCTTGCAGCTTGGGCAACTTTGACTGCGTCTTGGTTTTCTTGATCTTGATCCGGATATTATGCCATTGCCAGGCACCAACGATAGTAGCCAAGGCTGCTACTCCACCTAGTGTGCCCCCTACGATAGCTCCCTTGTTTGGTCCATCTTCGTCTTCGTCTTCATCCTCGTCCTCATCCTCGTCCTCGTCCTCGTCCTCATCCTCATCCTCGTCGTCTTGATCATTTTCCTCGTTGACATCACCGTCTCGGCTGTCGGGGCTGTTGTCGCTGTCCCGAGAAGCGATGGTAGTGATTGCTGGGACAATGGCACCAGGACTATCAATTGGAAGGCTGGGGCTAACGCTCTTGGGCGCAGGGCATGGGTTTATGATTGGTGCTGGCAGCGCAGTAGATAGGGATATAATGGCCAAAGGGCAGATGAAAGTGGTGATGCTATGCATGGTGAAGTCACAGCGGAAAGAAAGAAACAGAGAAGTGGTTGTACTCAGGTGTGTAAGTTTCCAGCCTCGTCTTTTTTTATTGGAGAAAATAGAAGAAGGTAGTCTTTCAAATCTACCTTATCAGATGAAGAGAATTGTTTGCAACACTGCCTCACTCGGCCAGCTGGAAAATGGCCCGACTGCCAGGTCCAGAGGTGCCCACCTAGCAAGGCTTTGCCTTGTTGGCTCCATCGGCCGAGCTGGCAAAGAGAGCGGCGGAACCTACCCGTGTATTTTATTATTGTATGCGGTTTACATCCGCATGAAGATCTTGATACTGAGCCAGTGCTTCTGGTCACGATTCGTGAGTTACCCGCTTCTCCTAATCATCCTCTTGGCGGCAAAAGGCCCACCGAGAACGCGAAAGGTGAGAGCGAAGAGTTTTCCCTGCCTAGTCTGTGGCTCATCAACTTGAATCATGAGAATGGTGCATTAGGGAAATGGCAGTGCTTGTATCAGATTTAACAAAACATCTCATTGCTAACCTACACAGTTATTTTCGAGAGTGGGTACTTCGTCTTGGCCTACGTATTGAAATGACTCTTGTGAGTGAACAGGGAGTTGAGGATCATATATTTAAAGAGATGAATTCTCATGAAAAGTCACTTCAATCTCATCACACTTCAACGCATCTCAAGTCTTCTCAGACTACAAGCATCATCTTGCTCAAAACTTGAACGTCTACAAACTTTTACCACCTTCACAATGCACTTTACTACCGCCTTCTTGATCGGCCTAGCGTCGTTCAGTGCCGCTCAGAACATTATCCAAGATGGCGACAAGCCCGAGTCATGCTTGGAAACCTGCCAGGACCCCATCAACATCTCAAAGGAGTGTGACAATTCCACTGGCGATAGCGACGACTACCACGACTGTGTTTGCTCGTCAGCTGACGCCCAGTCTCGCTTCACCGAGTGCAACACCTGCATCGTATCTTCAAGCGGCTCAGTCGATAACGGTATGTCGGAGCCTACGAGCTCAGCCTCAACAGAGTATTATGTACTAATTCAGTCATCAGATGTTGCCGACGAAATGGCCAAATGCGGCTGGTCTACCTCATCTACCAGCAACACTACTTCCTCCACGGTCGGTAGACTTTGATGAGTTTGAGTAGCAAAGTTTATCGTTGCTGATGTCAACCTAGGCTGCCATATCCGCAACGAGCTCTGCCACAGGTGCGAGCTCGAGCGCTGCTGCGACTTCTGCTGTCGCTGACAGCGCTGCAGGCCGTATGCTCTCTGGATACGTCCCCCTTGGCATTAGCATGCTCATCGGTGCTCATCTTCTGGGCTAAATTCGACACGATTGTTGCTTTTTTAAAATAGCCCGTGAGTGTCTGGACACTTTGTTATCAGCCAAACATGGACAATACTCGTCATGGTTGTTGACAGGATCATGGTATTGTCTCATCAGCCAAGTGGTATATAGATCAGGACAAAATTGAATCTGGCAAGCTTTGGGGTCATGGTTTGAGAGAATAGTGTGAGACTATTGGAAAAAGAAATAAAGGCATATTTCAATGATGGATGACTATAACTCTGTACTAGAATCGTGTATGCCATTGAAATAATCATGCTTGGAATATCTCCCCACAGTTGGTGGCCATGTAATCCCCGCACCAGTTCCATGCGAGATAAGATGCAGTTGCCATAGGTGCATGGATTTGATTGGAACGTTGACCCTTTCGAATATGTCTGACTGTATTGAGAACTGCCAACGACAAAAGAATCATGGTGCAGCACAGTCAGACTCCGAGTATGCAGATAGTTAGGTAGCTGTACTCTCGGAGAAACAAGGTGCCGACCAACCACACCAGGGGTGAAGTTTTCTTACACCCAGAACACATCGTCAGCGTGACAGATTCCCCGCTTCTCCCCAGGAACAAACCAGTGTTGATCCCACCAAGCCGTTGCCATGTGGCTCATAAACGTCGAAACCAGAAAACTTGAGGAATTCTTTGGTATAGATAGAATTCCTAAATATGCCGCTCTTTCGCATACATGGGAGGACGGTCAAGAGGTCACTTTTCAAGAGTTCAGGTCATCTCCAACCCGGGGCCTGAAGAGAGGTTACCGGAAAATCGATTTGGCATGTCGCCAAGCAGCTGAAGACAGATTCAAGTATGTTTGGGTCGATACTTGTTGCATCGACAAGTCGAGCAGCGCTGAGCTTACTGAGGCAATCAACTCCATGTTCAACTGGTACGAGCGCTCAAAACAGTGCTATGTCTACCTATGCGATCTTTCTATCACTACTGACAAAGTAGAGAATATTGAAGGTTGCAAATGGTTCAAACGTGCTTGGACTCTCCAGGAGTTGATTTCTCCGATTGAAATCAAATTCTACAACCGAAATTGGGACCTTTGTTTCAGCAAATCGAGCGCCCTTACCCAGTTATCTACCATTACCGACGTGGATGCTCGGGCTCTGAACCATTCTAAACCCCTGAATACGTTTTCAGTGGCACAGAAGATGTCTTGGGCATCATCCAGAGAGGCTACGCGAATCGAGGATATCGCCTACTGTCTCCTGGGCATATTTAACATCAACATGCCGTTGTTGTATGGAGAAGAAGAAAAGGCGTTTCTACGTCTCCAGGAGGAGATCATTAAAACTTGTCCAGATCCTAGCATTTTTGCCTGGAAATTGCCTTCGGCTGAAGTTACCACGGACAATGCATCAGACCTTCTCCATGGTGTGCTCGCTCCATCGCCCGAGTACTTCAGCGAGTGTGGAGGGATGGACAGACTGCCACAGCAACAGCTTCCACAATTCTCCATGACGAACCACGGCATCAAACTACGTGCACAGTTTGCACCAATTCATTTCTCGAAACCTCGTGGCTCAGCATATGTCCTCCCGGTTTGTTTCATTGGCACTCAATTACATTCCATTCGAACCAGAAATTCAGGTTGGGGGTACTTTGTGCGACAGGATCCTACGAATTTAGCTCCGACACCATCGAAAAATTCTTCCACCAGGCACATGTTGGAGCCTTATCTTTTGACACAGCTACATACATCATCTGGCTTGCAATCAGTGAACGATATCAGATCACGCCGTCCTCGTTGCTTACAGTTCGACTTGCGTCGAGGCATGAGAATATATCGTGTCTGGCCGTGGCTACAATGGGATGAAGTCGATAATGTCTTCTTCTCGGCAGATGTTGATGAGACCGGGTGGTCAGCGTTAAAAATCGTGACTTACCCCAAAAAGGGCGAAGGCAACTTTTCTCAGCAATCACTTGATTTTCTTTTTTATGCCTTCAACTGGTCTGAGTCCCCGGGCTCCAAACCAGAGTGCATGGTCCGCAAAGTCTCTGGTGGGCTGGCTGATCGCTCCTTGGAGGACATGAATGATCGTGCTGTTACAGAGGGTTGGGGTCCTTATACGGTCTACAACCGACTTGAAATGGCGCAGATCCCCAAGCATTCCGTAATTCTGGGAGATACCGTGGATGGGTCTAGCCCACTGTTGACGTTCAGGCTAGATTGGGTTCAGGACCACCATGTCAGTGCCTGCCCGTTGTGGAAGGTTACCTTTGACTTGAATTTTGGCCGCAGTGACTAGATACAGAGAGAGTAGTGTCCTCTTGAAGGCAATTGAGGGCACGGAGGGTTTTCAGTACGGCCTAGTAAATGATGGGTCAAGGATGAGAGACAGCACAGAGGTGGCGGGCAATTGTACGATTCAATCACTCTAGGATCGCATTTTCCTTCTCTTCACACTTTTGACATACAACATCACCCCCCTTTTACGGTGGCAAAACTGCCTATCTAGCAAATGTCCACAACTCTTCAAGTGAAATACAACTATTTGCTGTATCACGACACTTTCTAGCGACGACATAAGTCATGATGAAAAGAATCCTGGTTCACTGAGCTATACTACTTTTCAGCTATGGCCGTTCCGAGTTGAACATACTTGCGAACAGAAACTCTGGCTGACCATAACGGTTCAATCCCTGCAAGGCTCTGACGCATTTCCGCCCTGCCGTCCCTACCCCGCCTCCTCACCTTAACTGACAGACCAGATCTACTCATTTTTGATCTTTCGTATCCCTGGTGGCTCAGCTGGCAGACTATTCTCAAATCATCGGGATAAGCGTGACGAAGGCGCCATGTATCCGGATATCAATTCAAGTAAACCTCACCGGTACTACCTGATCTCCTACCCAAGGACTGCATCGAACCTTTTGCTCAAGATTCTCGCTGTTGAGTCTCAACCCGGCTTTTCAAGCGGCGGTTACGATGGGGGTTACTTCTTTATGCCAGTCGATGGTATCTTGTGCGAACGACATCTTCGCAGCAGATGTGTGAGCGACTGGACAAGTGATGAGAGGCGTGAGGTTCAAGAGAGCTTCCAGACATGCTTCGAGAATCAGCTGCGCTGGGTAGAGTCCGCACAATCACAGGGGCATTCGATCTTTGTCAAGGAGCACACTACTTTCTTTGCGGACCCAATCGTACGTACCCGATTGCAATTCGGTGCGGATGCAGTGAATGAGCCGAACTGGACGGTTCGATATGCTGGGGGCTCAACTCACTCTACACTGAATACTTCAGTGCTGCCCGACGAGTTTCTGCTCACCTGGCTACCCACGTTCCTCATTCGACACCCGGCTGTTGCCTTTCCGTCTTACTATCGGACCATCATTGAGAGAGAGGGAAAGGAGTTGGCAGCTGCCGACAATTTCGCCTCGCTAGTGATAACGGTCGAATGGAGTCGCGCTCTCTACGACTTTTACCTCCAACATCGGGACGCTCTCCCTTGCTCGCCGGCCCAACGAAGCGAGTGGCCCATTGTTCTAGACGCAGATGACGTGATTAATCATCCCGAGATCATATCTCTCTATTGCGCAAAAGTTGGCATGGATCCGCAAACGTTGCGATTCTCCTGGGACCAAGCCGACCCGGAAAAGCTGGCCAAGATGCATCCAGCACAAAGGGCCATGCGTACGACAATATACGGGTCAACAGGTATTGTCAAAGGCAAAAGTCTTCAGGAACTGAATATTCTCGACGAAGCTAGCAAGTGGAGGAGCGAGTTTGGCGATATTGCCGCGCAGCATATTGAAAAGCTCGTTCGCCAGGCCATGCCCGACTATGAATATCTGAGGGCAAGAAGGCTACGCGCTACGCCAGCCTAGAATGCAGTAGTGAAAATCCGGTATTTTTCATCGCAGCAACTTGGATGCAATCACTTGAATACGACCCCGTGTCTCGATTTCTTCCTTGATTCACTACGACAGTGACTTCCACCCAATGGAAGAAACGTGTAACTATTTGAGACTTCGACAAGAAGTACACCCCTGTATCATCCCCGGTTCGAGTAAGGTCAAACGCATATCAAATAATCCAGAAGGCTTCACCATAGCCAATGTATCTCTGTCTCTCGCCGCGTTGCGATGCCCAATCACCTCCTAGAAGCTTTCCTGTAAAGGAACCCAAGCAGAGACCAGTCCGCAAGAAGCAGTTCCGGTATCTATCTAGAGACTATCTAATCAAACAAAAGAAAATGTTTGATATGAAGAAATGTGCATCAGCGAGTGATCCGAGAGGAGTAATATGCCAGCTAGGGTCTGGGCCTTTGCTGGCTTCCAATCAGGGACACTTGCAATGAATTCTTATTCGTGGTTTACTAAGTTGTTTCGTGAGCGCAGGAAAAATCCCAAAGGTCCAGTCTCACAACATGTTCGAAACAACCAATTTTGGACAGGAGTAATTGAAGCAGCTGGGGCTGAACGCCAGGCCTCTTGTACCAGCAGCGCGAACCATTGATATAAGAAAGCCCAACACCCCGAGCCGCAGGTAGACACATACCCAAGAACATGAGCTTGAAGGTAAGGCCGGCACGTCTGCTGTCGACAAAGCAAGACGACCCATGATATCTCGTTGAAAACCGCCGGCTAGTCGGATAAGACGCGGTCGGCACGGACTATCAAGATGTGTTCAGAAACAAATGGGCACACTGCGCCATCTCCCGGGTCGACCGGCCCCCCTTGACCCAATGGTGAGGTCTCTTTGGTTTGTATCCAATGAGATTGAACAAGGAAGGACGTAATACGACCATGGCCCCAGACTCCCGATCGGAGAGCTACATGACACACGACTTCAATGGTTTGATGGGGCCCCCAGCCACCTCTCCATCTCCCAGAAATGGGCGAAAGGAGAGGGCGAATCTTTCCACCCAAAGAAGTGTGGTCCGGATCCTCACGAGGCTGATGACCACTTTCACTACTGCGGCTTTATCCCAACCAGACCCCCCTCGCCTTGCTCAGACTACACGGAAGTCCAACCTGTGTGGAAAACTCCGCACCTGTACTACCTCTGTGGGCATTCAAGACTGGGCAGCGGCATCGACAAACCGGCCCGGGACTTGGAATTTTTTCTCCCCATGGAGCAAATTAAGAAACCGGGAAAAGTCTGGAGCTTCACGCTGTCGCTCGGGTTAAAAAAAGGGTAAAAGATAAAAAGGTCTGGTGGTACGCCCGTCTATAAGATGAAGATCTAGGCGCCCCGTCTGTAAGATGAAGATCTAGGTTCGGCTCGTACTGTGGCCTCGGGGTAGACCACAAATTCCAGACTGTGGCTATGCCCGAGGCCCGGCCTCGTAGGCGGCAAGGGGAGATGACTGTCCAGGTGGGATTCCCCGGTTTCTTATCCCTCTGTTTGCACTCTTTGAATGCTGTGGTCGTGTTTTTATCGGAAGGTTAAACTGTTTGGTGGACTGTTGGGAGGATGGGAAGTCAGTGTATGATCTGAGATATTTTCAATGTTTGGCAGAAACAACATTGCAAGGTTTGCGGTTGCAGTCATGGTGTCTGATGTACATGAATGTTGGCGAGCGGTTAATGGAGAGATAGATGATGTAGAATATGTGATGGTGACGATGATTGAATGAATTGAATGAAAGTTGATCGAGTGAAAATGATAGAACAAAAAAGGACTCTGATCAGGTGGTGATAGGAACCAGGGTCTGAAAATATGAATCGCAGTTAGAGGTGAAAGGGGGGAAAGTCTGTAGATGATGGGCACGACGCGCCAGCATGACGGGAACGCGCGTAGTTGGGATGGAGGCTGCCACAAACGAACATGGAAGAATGTGAAAGGAGGGGAAATGGATTGAAGATCAACTTGGCGGGTGGTGGATTGAATGTGCCTGAGAGATTGAGTGATTGTGCAAAGTCATTCTCGGGAAGTTTGAAATGTGCTGTCAAGGAGTAGAGGGGATAATGAAGATAGACATAGACCTGACTTACCTAGAAATGAAAATTGATGGAAACGATTGGGGCTTCCGAAGTCAAATTGGAAAGAAATTGCCGAGATGCTAGAAGAAAACTAGTTAGACGAAGAGCGCAAGACGGTGAAATATTTGGCAGATGAGAACGGAATAGCCGCCTGTGGACAGACAAGCGAATCAGAATTGGAGGGAGACGGAAATTTTGAACGTGAAGAGTTTGTGGGCAGAGGGTCTGCAAACGGGCAGATGGGGGCGGGATTGCGAAGGGGCCTGAGATCCAGCTAGGATGATTGTTGCAGTTGCTGGCAATGGCGGCTTGAGGAAGATGAGAATAGCAAAAAGAGGAGTCAAGATGATGCTTGTACAGTCCTGAATACATACCGATAAAAATATTGAATGTAGTTGAGGAAGAAGAAGGAGAGCAGAGGAGGAAGAGGAGACTGAATCGGAAGCAAAGTTTTGGAGTTGTGGTGTGTGGGGTGTCGTTGGGAATGGAGGCAACTGTTAGTAAGAAGCATAGATTTATAGCTTCAAAAGCAGTACCGCGGACCCACAGCTGATTGCAGTTACTGCAGCCTGGCCTCGCGCGGGCGGTCTGATTTTGCCAGCCGCGAGGCCAGGCTCGTTTTACCAGCTGTCGACTCTTTGTGTACAACCTCAGCGTTTGCATTTGTTATCAAGCCTGAGGCCACAGACTCGCATTCCAGCTCGACATGCTACTGCGACGCGTTTGCCATTCAAGTTTGTGCGTCTGTTGCGCATTAAATCCATTCTATTGTGTTCAAGTATATTTCAAAGTTCAAACCATTTATTAAAGCAGCAGCAGCAACAGCAACAGTCAAGTATCATATCCGAGTGTAGTAGTGATGAAGGCTATCCATTTCTTCAATTGTAACCGAAACCTGCCCCAAGAATTCAAACAGTAGAAGAATCTTCAGTGTTATGCCAATTAGCATAGAGCCTTTGAAGCTATTGCTGATTGCGGACCAAAGCCTCCTCCATTCCTGGGTGCATCAGAGTATCACAACGCGGTGGACGAGTGTTCAGTGAGCAATTGGTACGTCTCAGCATGCCCACCATCACGAGCCAAAGCCACAGCTTGCCCGTCAAAGCCAAACCCATTGTCAAGCAGAAGTCTAACAATTTCAATGTGCCCAATCGAGCATGCCGCGGCGACTGCAGTGCACGAGTGTTGACAACGACCTTTGTCATGACGCAGCAGTTCATTCGTCAGGTCGACAGATCCGCCAAGGGCCACGAGGGACAGCGCGCAGAGGCATTTTGTCTCTGTGAACCAGTCCGGAAAGGCATATCGCCTGAGCCACCCAGCAAAGGCATGTTCGTCGTCCGTAAGGAGCTTCAGGGCGAGCTCTTTCGATGCTGGGTCGGGCGTTCCTGCTGCCACATAGTGGGCAATCCAGTGCTGCGCAGCGTAGCTGCTGAACCGACATGACTCTGTCTGCGACGGACCCTGTAGTAAACATTTCAAGCATATCTTTGCCACTGCCAAATTTGCCATGTCGGGCTTGAGTTGTCCCTCCAGCATCGTCTTCCCCTGCGGCATCTTGTTCATGGCGACATACTCCTTGAAAGTCTTGTATCTGACCTCGAACTTGAATTGGTTTCTCGTGATACTACCGATTTTCACTTGATACGGAATTCGTACCGAAATCGGAAAGCTCCTCTCCAGAGTGAATAAACGGACTTCAGTACAGACCGAGGCTAGCGATCCAACAGTCTCTGGAACTTCGCTGTAGTTGGCGAGCGCCACAGCGTCAGTCAATTGCTCTGCGGATATTGGGGTCAGAGAGTGGACGAGGAGTTGCATGCTGAGTACAATGTCTTGTCTCGTGTCTTCTGAGAACAGATAGCTTGAATGGTCGCTCATTTTGAACCACTTTTCCAGCTCAGCTTGAAGATTTGGCCTCGCCTGCTTCTTGTGTAAGTCAAGCAGCTCCTGCTGTATTACGTTGGACTGGTTGGTGTTTGCCGAGACTACATTGGGTTAGTTGTTGAATGAAGGTTTCCGTATGATGAACTCACTGCTATCCAGCTGCTCGCGAACTCCACTCATCTCAGTCAACTTCTGGGCCGACTTGACTCTGCCAGGTGTCGCCTTCAAAAGCAGCATTTTGGCATATGCCGCGGCAGTCATTGCCGCATGGTTTTGCCAAGTGTCGTTTTTGTGGGAATCCGCATAGTCGCAAATGCCTCGTATGACCAGTACAGGGAGCTGGTTCATCAAACCGGCCGCCTCCATCTCGACGCAGAGGACGTTGCTTTTCTTGCCAAGCGCATCTCGAAGTGCTGCATCTCTGACTAGAGTATTGCTAGAGGCAATGAGGCCGTAGTGAATCTGTGGCTCAACATCGCGGGCCGGACGATCAATCAGTTGTTCTGAATGCGATTCGCAGACTAGAGCACAATCTTCTTGGTCGCTACCAGCGTGGACGAAGGATGATCTGAACAGTCGGTCCGTCGTCGCATCAGGGCGATGATAGCGCTTGAGACCTGGTCTGCTGCCCAACTTTGTCGAGATATCATGGTCTATCGTGTGACCATAGAGCTCAATGTCCGACGCGAGCAGCTGTATCGCTGTGAGCAATGATCTGGGTGGTTGATTGAGATGACCTGTTTTGACAAAGTTCCCGTCAGGCAGTGCTTTGCCCAGATCGGGCTGCACCACTCCTCCAATGCCGTCTCGAGGCGCACTGACGACGACATCACCCAACCGAATGTCGCGCAGGATACTGAGACTGCGCCCCGGCAAGGTTTCTTCTTCGACGACTGGCACTCCGCCACCAATGCCCACCATAAGCACGACACGCAAGCTTGGGAAAGATCTAATCATATCCCTGACCACGACCGCCGCACTAGACGTCCCATATTCCCCGTGTGGGAGAGTAGCGACGACCACGTCGTGTTTGCCAATGGACCCGAGGACATACGTATTGTCGTCCCCCGGAAGACCTTCAAAGTCTGCGCTGTCTCGCTCTTCGTCCAGATGAAGCCGAGCCGCGGTCAACTCGGATGACAGCGCGCACACCCAGCCAACTGTATATTGATCTACCTCGACCATCTTGCCACGTCGATGAAAAACTGGTGATCTTTCGAGTTTCGTTATCGCAACTGAGATTGTTTGGACCGCCGCACACTGGTACCAAAGCGACCCCGCAAGAGCTGAACGGAGCTGAAAGGATGCGAGGTGCGTCGAAGCAGCAACGCTTAGGTGGGCGTAGCAGGGGGGCCTCGCCTTGACTTGCATCGTGGACCCTTTGATTGGCCGTTGCAGACTTCATTGTCGCGGTCTTCATTGGAAGTTTACCACCCCAACCGTGAGGCGCCCCAGGGTGCGTACATCGCTTCCGTGACCAATCTGGGGAAAGGATCCGAAAGCTGAACGTCATGAAAAAGTATTGCATTGCCTTTCAACTTACTCTGACACCCTTGAATTTGACGTCTCCATTTCCTCGGAAGCTCTACGCGAAGGAGCTCGTAGAATGAATCATTGTCATCAGATCTTGCTCGACAATATCAAAGCGTGGCGCCGCCTGTCCTATCAGAGTCACCATCGCCGTTGATGGTGTCGCTGTCGCTGTCGTCTTCAATCTCAGACAGAAGCTGGCTCGACTGCTCACCCGAAGAGGTCGAGGATCCCGTGTCAGACTTTTCAGTGTCCGAGTAGCCGGAATCTTTGTCGCCCTTGCCAGCAGCTTTGCCCGTCATCACCTTCATCGCCGCTAGATATCGTCAGTTGCTGCAATGTACATGAATAAATGTTCATTTTCTTACAAATATTCAGATACCCGAACTTCCCCTTGATTGAATCCACTTGTTGTATCTGGCGGTCCGAGCCCGCTAGAGTCGTTGGAGTAATACCCGTCGTGGTGTCTCGGTGACCTCTCGGACCAATGCTTTGGTGGCTGATCTGGGTGAGGGCCTCTTTGCGAATCGTTTCCAGCATCTTGTTCAGAATATGGAGTTGGTGTGGATAATCCGGGTCTTGCGCGCCCTCTGGCAACAAGGGAGGGCCCCAATTTGGGTAAATATTCTTGTGCGATGCAGGCTCAACGATACCAAGTGGATGGTGTCTGATGTACAGGTGACAGCAGTAACAAGCTGGTTTGCTGCAATTGATGTATCGGTCATCGTCGATGAAGTTCAAGTTGTTTTCGTAGAAGTACTCCAGGACTTGGATCTCTGCGTGTACCTTTGGCTGGAAACTTTTCGACTTGTACTGGCCAATGACTCGGTCATGTAATTTCACTCGGTGGTCCAGATTCAGTAGTGCTTCCTTGTACTTGTGCAGGTTCGGGTCCTTAGCTGGGAGCATGCGTACGAGCATGGATTCCAAAGTAGTCAGGCCGTCTGCTTGGGGAGGCGCAATGCTTTTGCAGAGTGGTAGCTGACAGACGAAATATCTCTGCGAGAGCAACTCCTCCAACCTTGGTCCATCTTCAAGAATCTGTTTGGGTGCTCTAATATGATGGGCAAGGCGGCCAAGCAAGTGCCTCGCATCTTCGAAGGAGGCGGCTCTGTCACTGAGTACAGACTCGCCTTGCTCAGTCTTACTCCTGGCTGCCAACTGTTTCATTTCGGGCGCCTTCCTCTGTTCATATGCTCTTTCGCAGAGAGCTCTATTGTCTTGAAAATCGAAAGACCGGATCCAGCTCACCAGTTGAACGTCTATAATAATGTTAGAGTCGGCTACATGGTCATTTTTCAACATGGTATACCTTCTGGTTGACCTTGCTCCTCAAGATACTTGATGCACCCCTTGAAAGCGTTGGACAGCATCTTGGCTTCCTTGCTGATCCGCTGGCGAGCAAAATCAATACAGTAGTAAGTGAAGCGCTGCTCATCGCCTCGACGCAGGGACTGTTCATAGCCCAACTTTCGAACATCATTCAGTATGTCGTCGACGAAATCTCTGATCTTGCTGGATGGTTGGTTTGAGGCAACCCAAAAGTTGTAGCAATCGTCGCGCTCCTCGATCCCAATGGCAGAAGTCGAGTCGCCTCCTTTGGTAAAGTCACAAAGATAGGCAATGTTGTTGAAGAACCTTCTGCGGATCGACTGCCTGGAGCTCTCGTCTGGGGGGCTGGGGGAATGCTCTCCTCGAGTCTTACCAAGGGCAAGCAACAGGAGCAGCGGCTCATAGAATCGGCCCAGAAGCCGCTGATAATCGTCGAATCTTGGAGTTTTGGTCATCTTGGAAGGCATGAATGATGAACAGAGCGATGCTTTCAGATTACAATAAGGTGGGTAAGACTTGGATCAGTGTGGACAGAAGAATAGACTTGATTCCTGGTGTGCGCTTGGTTCAGGAAGAAATTGATCGCCGAGTTGTTTCTCTCATATTTATAGACACTTGATCTCGTATGAAGGTACTCCATCTTCATATGATTCTTCTTTCAAGTCCAGTTAGCAACAATTCATGTGCTTGCGTGTTGGGCTACAAAAATGGTGGGCCTCCAGTTATCAGCCTTGGCTTTTCCCCCTCTCAACGCCTGATGCCTTACGTTTGCAACGTGCAGTTCTCGGTCTATCTGCTCCTTATGATAGGATATTCTGATGTTGTAGAATCCATTAGATAACCATAGAATTCATGGTTAAACCCAATGCAGACTTCTTTCCTTGCCGTTAATGTTGTGCTGCCTGGATGCGATGAGCAATTGGCCGTATTTATAGGTGGACATGCGTTGATAATATGCAAATCAAATCCCGTTATAGGATCAAAGCCAATGGCATGGATATTACGAATGCAGGCAGTCGCGTTTAGTGTGAGCCGGGCGGCTCGTCTCGGACGCCGATGCAGCCTGTCAGCATCTGCATCCAGCCAATAGAAAATGGTGGGCCGATGATGCGAACATCTTCACCCCCGCGCACTGGCGAATAGCCAAGCTTTAGGCTCTGGCGCATAAGATATCCCACGCGTGACTTGAACATGGTCAATTCATTGTATTGACCATATGCTGGAGTCTCACCACAATTCTCGAGAATGCCTTGAGAATGCCTCGTAAGTGCCTAGCTGCGAGCACCACACCAAGGGAGCTGAGCTCAAATGCTCGTAGAGTGGTGTCTCTTGGAGATCGCGTCGAATCGAACCTAGAAGAACAATTTCAATGCGCAAATGCGTCACTGGGGGGGATACTTTGATAGTCGTGTATTTCTTCTACAATTTATTTCATACGAGGCCCTTAAATGTAGACGTCTTACATAACTAGACACCATTCTAACAAGAGTCCCATATTCTACCATAGATTTTGGCCTCCCCACAAGTAGCACCTAGCACCATCACAAGTTACAGATCATTGCAATGTCCCATCGTCAGTTTGCTCAAATGAACATTGACTATTCTTCGTCAGTAGCCACATACAGCTGGAATTTCGACCAACAAATGAACGATCCATCAGAAGACTCGGGTCCGGCCTACGGGTCCAACGTCGGATTTGGAGACGAGCCCGCGAGCACCAACTTCTTTGATGAGCTGACATGGTCAAATCAATTTGACAGGAGTATAAATACGCCATTCATCACCGATGGTACAGACTCGCCTCTTTAGAGTGCAACAGACGTATCAACCGGGCCACAATACAACATGAGTTCTGCCGTACGCGACCAGCCACGCGAATCAGCTGTGCGCGAGGTGGCAACACTCGGCTTACCACACACCAGCCAAGCTTCTGCGGGAGTCGCCCCAGCCATGCTACAAGCAAGTACCGAGACTGTTGGCGAATTTCGCAGAGAAAGATTCGACGAGATTGATCTACCCAAAGCAAAGGAATTCAAACCAGGAAAGGATAGGCGGTTTTCATGTGACAAGAACAAGGACTTGGTAGGCGAGTTCTACAAGAACAAGCGATCAGTAGACGGGAATGAAATATGCAGAAAGAGCTACAGCACGGCAAGAGATCTAAAGTGAGATACGCCCCAGACATAACGGAAATAATGAATACATTGATTAAAAAAACATAGGAAGCATCTCAGAACGCACGTATTCCCTGTCATCTGCCCGGAAACGGATATCTGTGATATTCGAAAGGCTGAGCAGGGGGACATGCGGGAACACTTGAGGGTAAACCATTCCGACTTTGCTTTGAACCATCCAGAATATGGGGTCGACTTTGGACCGTTCATCTGCCCGAATTGCGAGAAGGACTACACGAGGCCAGACAATTTGACCAAGCACCTGAACAAAAATGTCTGCTAAAGAGATTGATGAAACTGTTTTCCTTTGGCACACCGGTCGATATATTACGTTTCTTAATCTCGTTCATCATCCTTTCTCTATCCTTTTTTTTTTCCCTAACCTATACGACTGTTATCGGATGTCTTGGTTATCAGGCTCACGAAGTTATGAATATTTCTTTCCCGCTAGCAAGAATTGATTCTATTTTGAATGTTTCTTCCCACTTGCATGATTTATTACTATTAGTAAATTTATTCATACCCAGTTGTACTCATCTTGAGCGCAGCCCAGCCTAAGCAAGGATGTCGCAAGTTTTCTCCATCTTTATCTCGTCTGGTAAGCCTCCGACACTGCCCTAGTGTCGCAATGGCTTTGTATCTCAATGTTCTTGCCCCTTCGGGCTTATGCACCGCTGTAATGAACCGCCTCGCCCGTCAAATAGACCGTGGTTGTTCTGTCGAGTTGCACTCGTGGTATCCCGTATAATAAAGAAAAAGAGTGCTTGATATGTACTGCTGCGTCTTTCAGCTAGCTTTTTAATTCCAAAACATGAAACAAAATTTTGCTGAATGCAAAAGGTATCAAAAGGAGACGTTGCTTTCGCTGTCGGTTCGGCGCTTATTACTGCTGCTGACCTGGACATTCATCTCGACCTTGATACCCTTATCAACACTGGAATCATTGATCCTGTCTCGACTTCCAGCAAAGGCAAAGGCGTCGCCGCCAGGGTGAAACTGGTCCCCGTCGTCCTTGCGACTATGCCACGACCGATCAGGGAGAGGGATACTACCGGGGTAGGCGCCCGTCTGCCGGCTACGGCTGTCCTTTCTGCTGCTAAACGAGCCGAGCGTGTTGCCGATCCACTTGCGCATGAGAGGGAAGATGAGCGGCACGTTGGAGGTGACCACGGCGACAAAGGTTTCCCGTATCGCCCAGGCCGCGGCATCTTGTGCGCCCGTAACGTCGTTGGAGATGATGAGCACGCAACGGAGGATACCAGCCATCATGACAAAGATGCCTCCGGAAAATAGAACAATCAATCCCAGTTTCTTCCATAGTTGAATTTGCGCGCTCCACAACATCGGAATAGGAATCGTAAGCAAGTAGAGATCGGTCGCGACATTGAAGGCGAGGGTGACGAATACGTTGACTCGAGATATGGCTGGCTGGCAGGTGACTGAAGGTAGGGCCAGATGTTAGCATACGTTTTCTTGCAGGCTTCAAAAGTGTCACCCTGTAGTCTCAACAATACTTACGACCTGGGTTAGGGTAGATTTGCCAGCTTTTGCTGATGGGAGCGCAGCTGGCAAGAATGGAGATAGTCACAATGACCCAGCTGGCTATTATAATACCGAAACCAACAAGAATTCGTGTCCGATACGTTTCCAGGCGTTCCTAGAAATATTGCTTAGTAAATCGCATGTAACGTCAGAGTGATTCGTATTACCGTAAGGCGCAAAAACATTGTACATAGTGCGGCTTTTATGATCCACAAGAGCAGTACATAAACTACCCAACCCTCAATCTGGGTTTTTGAGCCGCCGACTCTGTTTGCACAGAAGTATTAGCAAGGTGGCCATGGATGCCTAGTCGACCTGGACATGTTGTGTTTGTTGTAAATACGAACCTGTTCTTGTATTCGTCGCTATCCGCGCTCAAGGCTTCCCTGTACTCGTCGGTCATGCCATTGTTGGCGATGCCACCGTACTTTGCCACGACCTTGTACGCAAGGGCCGATTCTGCAGAGTACACTCCCTATAGTGAGAAATTAGAACAATGCGCTTGCTCCCGTTGAACCACGTGGTTGTGGCGTGAAGATGCTGACCATGGCTAGAATCATAAGGTAGTCGTCGGCCTCCCACCTATTAAAACCAACGGCTTCCCACCGTGCGTACAAGCGCAGGAGAATGACCAGCAGTCCAATCCCCATGAGGATGAAGACCTCGTTGAGGGCGGAAGTGGGGTCGGATGCCATACTGTTGGTGTTGAACGACAGAGACCTACGGCCGCTAGATCTAAGAATCTAGTGTAGCGTCTGAGGGTGGTGGTAAAATATGAGGTAACAGATATTGCATTCCTCCTTCGGCCGGATCTCGATCTTGCTTGGCAGCGAGCCCGAAAAAAAAATTCTTGAAAGATCAAAACTCAGAGTTTGGATTTTTGGGGTGCGATCCGACCAGGTACTTATCCGCTCGAGGTCGCCCAGGAGGTTCAGGCGATCGACGAGACCGTCAAACTCTATATGACCCAGCCAAATCGCATTCCCGGAAAACAGATTCTCAATCGGGAAACAAGCTCACAATGATATGCCAAGCAGCCAAGGGCCCTGGCCAGCGGCGGGACAAGAATCTATGGTCGACCATGGAGATATCCTATATTCCGACCATAGGTCAGGGTTCTCAAGACAAACCATTGATATGTGGTAGCGGCTAGGCGTTTCGCCTAGTCGCTCTAGTCGTGCCTCCCGCGAAATTGCATAGGAAAAAAGCGTTACGAGTCATACCTAGACCCAAAGACAGATACGACGACCCCTGCTATAGCGTGGGTCCGGACCTCAAGCCACTGCTTCCGGCCCGAGGATCGTCCATATTCACCCCAGTCTCTCTTGGACTATAGGTAAGCCCCCTGCCAAGCAGCAGTGCAGCCGCAGATATCCCTTCTTTCTTCTTCTTCTTCATCGTCGTCGTCGTGTCTGGAATCATACAGCAATTACCAAACTCGGCTATGCTTGACCTGACTCGGGTATAGCCAGGGTCGATGGAGCAGCGTGGCACCCATGTATCCGCGAGACTGGACCCCGACTGGTCTCCCCAAAGAGCTAGCCCCCGGATACCTACCTACCGGTAATGATGGGTGGAGGGGCTGAAAAAAGACGAGCTTGATTACGCGTTACTGGAAATGGCTCGCAAAGGTCCTGTCATCTGCGAATAGCATCTTGAAGAGCTACTGCTGACAGCCAAGCAATCTCATATCTCTCCAACTGACCTCCAAATTGTAACATTCGTCAAGCGACATACATGAATGAATGAGTCGGACGTGCATGTGAGGTGCTTCAATGACATACCGCAGTAAGTAAGCAGAGGAGATGATCGGTTCTTCTCCAAGAAAAAGAAAGCTATAAAGAAAGTTTATTGGATAAACCGCTTGACAAAGTCCGAATACCCCGGCACGGGGATGCTAAAGTGCGTGTCGCATTTTAACCGACGTTAAAGGGGGGCTTAGTCCCGGGGCTATAATCTTGATATCAACAAGATGATTATGATTATACGCTGTCCCGCTTTCAGCCACAATATATATCTCGAGTAATGTCCTTGCGCATGAATGTGGTGAGGCAAATATCAGAGCCTGAAATATTCCGTTCATTGCTTGATTCGGATTTGAGGTTGCACTGCAAACAAACTTTCCTTAGGTAAAGAGCCTGCGCAAACTATGATTGCAACCGCCAGAGTATGAAGCTGTAGACGTACAACACTGACCATATTCGTACCATGATTCCACAGGACGAAAGAGAATGAACTCCCCTAAAACACCGCAGTCCCGCGTAAGCGAGCCAATGCCCAACATTAATACATAATGAAGATGATCCCTTTCCCAGCCCTATTGGGCTCAAAAGGCCTACCGCTGACCATTGCTAACAAGATAAACTTTGCGCTACATTACGCGAGCATATTTGAATGGGCTGCTTTGGGCAGAGAGCAGAATTACAAAAGACTAGAGTCTGCTAGATCCGGGTGGGAAAATGGTGGCATAACGCAGTGGTGTTGGAGTGCCACTAAGGAAAGACCTGCAGTAGCACAAGTGAACCGAACCTATGGAAAGCTTGGGCTTGGGGTCTCTACGTGTCTACATATGGCGACGACCAAAAGATGACGAGCGACTCAAGTCGAGCAGGATGCGTATGCATCTACCCATGAGTAGTACTTTTTAGACCCAGATAGCTTGCATATATCACATGCCGGTTCCCTCAGCTTGTCGGATAGTGCCCGCGAGCCTTGGCAGTCAACCAAACCAGTCACATAGTCTTCACGGTGAGTCTAGGACGATCTTGCTGCCGGTAATCTACACATACTAAGCAAGTGCAACAAGCTAAACAGGACAACCAGACTAAACACCAAACAAAACAACTTGCTACTATCGTGTATCTTCATGCCTTAATTCATCATCCAGTCAGTCTAACGGCTAATAAGGTTTGATGGAGCCGCGTCGTTCCCAATCCGTCTCAACGGCGGATTCTCCCCCAAAACATATCTACAGCAGCACCGGACCCGATATTCGTACCATCTCCAGCATAGCAGAAAGATCGCTTTCCACGATGTCCTGGTAGGGCTGACCACAGCCCCCCTCTCCAACCAGCAGGTCGATGGCCCATGGAGATAATCTCAATACCAAGAACGAGTCGTCATCTACCGGATCCAAGGACGCGGGACTGGCCAGGAGATCATTTGGACGCATCTCGAGATTAGAGGATTCCACATCCTCGAGGGCTAGATGTGTGTGTCCCCTGACGCATGCAGGACACCCATGGTCCTCGATAGACTGCCGGAAATCCGGATACCGCTCGGGCCCCCTTGGGCTGCCACGTGGAATTGACAATTAGACTTCTTCCGCACAGTCTTCTATTTTCTCCCCTTTGCTTATTGCCCCGGCAAAACAGGGTCGACTTCCTATTGATGCATCGGACTTAGAACGGGTATGAATGGTTTGTAATGATAATGCTGTGCTTTGTCTGCATGGTATAGTTCAGATATCCACAGTCTCAAGTGGAGACAGGTCACGGAACAAGTGAGTGATGCCTCTCTGAACAACATGGGGATGGCCTGTGAGATGCGGGAAATTATGTAATGGAATCGACATTCACTCTACCCCAGTCCTTGCTGGTTCAGCCGGCCGGTGAGTTATGAAAGGGACATGATTTGGTATCTATTTCTTATATTTCTGCTCTGAGTTTCTGTTTCTATCATGATTTGCCCCCTTTATGCCAACTGGCTGTCGTAAGACGCGACTTCGGCCATGGTCTTTTGCAGCTTCTCCTTGACGGCCGGGGTGGGCTCCTCATATGGCCTTCTGGGTCTGAACTTCTTCTCTGCATCTTGGATACCCGCCTTGGGTGCTGTGTACACACTTGCGGCATATTTGGTGACCTATTGTTGAGCATTAGTACCACGTGTCGCCTCGTGAGGAAAAGAATGCGGGCTGAAAGTCTCTCGGCAAGGTCACAAAAACTTACAGCAATGCCAGCCTTGATGGCCTGCTCCGACAGGGCCTGCTTCTCCTGCAGCTCCTGGGCGCCCTTCAGATCGCCCTTTTTGAACAATTCATAAATCTTGACCACGGTCTTGGGAAACAAGTTGCCATAGGCGCAGATGCAGCCGACGCTGCCGCTGGCGAGGCCGCCGAGCAAAAAGTCGCTCTGGCCGCCAAACGTGGCAAACACGTCGGGCTTGAGCACGGCCGAGAGCCGGCTGATCTTGGCGACGCTGCCGCACGTCAGCTTGACGCCGACAATCTTGCCGGGGTGCCGCTGCGCCAGGCGCGTCACCGTGTCCGAGTCCAGGTCCACGCCGTTGCACACGGCCGGGAAGTTGTAAATCACCAGCGGCAGGCTGCTCTTGGACGCCACCTCGTCGTAGAAGCCCTCAATCACCGACTGCGTCGTGGCCTTGCCAAAGTAGGCTGGCGGGAGCAGCAGGCCGTAGTCGGCGCCTGCTGCCGCTGCGTCGGCGATGAACTCGAGCGCCTGCTTGGTGCTGTGTCCCGATACGCCGGCCATGATGGGAAAGTCTGGGCCGACCGCCTGCCTGGCAATCTGCAGGAGCTGTGCGCGCTCCTCGCGCGTCAGGAGGAAGGTCTCGCCATTGCTGCCGAGCACAACCAGGCCTGCAAGACCAGTGGTGCTCAGGTACTTGTAGTACTTTGCCTGGTCCTCTGGAAGCAGAGTATCCGTGTCTGGATCAAACAGCGTGACTGCGGGCGTCCAAACGCCAGAGGGTGGTACTGAAGGGGCCATTGTGAAGTATGATAAGCGTTTAGCTCTAAATGCCGTGAACGACCAACTATATTTCCAAGTTAAATTGGACACCTGATGCTGGCTTTACAAATCTTGCCAAAATAATAAACAGAATTGTTCCTGTAGGTGTTCTTTAAAGACGAAAATGTAAACGGATACGTAATCTCAGCATCGCAAAGCCTCAAGAAGCAGTATATGAACAACTATTCAGTGTGAGGGGAAGCCGGATAAGCCGTCCGAATATTCGGCGCATATCCGGTGGCTCGGCTGTGGTTCCGCGCCTCCAATAGACGGACCCTAACTCCATATCGCTTCCACAGCGGGCTCCGTTTTCGGCCACCAATGGCAATGCTGTCACCTTCCTCTCTATTTCACAAATGATTAGTCTTTATCTTGATAGTTTGTATGAATCTTGTCAATTACAGTTCTGGTTAGAACATCTTGCCTCCATTGTGAAAGACTGCCTATGTGATGCAGATGCTGTTCCACCACTCACTTCATCCTGGGTATACGAAACAGATCAACGCCCCCAAATCTAGTTCTACAATTATTTCTCTTCCATGAGCCGATATTCAGCAACATGTAATTATCCTTCTCCAACTTTGCTTCAAATGCGACACGTATCACGTCATGTTGCAACAAAAGGCCCTTTCCTGATCAAAGTATTCGCGTGAGCATGTTCCTTCGTAGGACACCGTGAAATCTTATCCTCGGAAAACTCATGGTCGTGATTGTTGCTCGGCATGTGGGGCTCTTGCTGGTTGACGTGCGCCCGCACCAGATTCGGCGCGGGTGGTTTTCGGACGGGCTCCGAACCAGCTCCACCTAGGCGTGAGCCAAGATTCCCAGGTGCTCTTTTGGTCGGCCGCGAAACGGACTTTTTTCTTGTTCTTTGATAGAGGATTGTTGGCGCTTGTTGAGCCGGGCGCACCCGTATAATCGGGTACTGCTCCGGACTCTGGGCTGTCTGACGGCTGCTGTACCTAACGCCGCTCATCGGTGGCACCTACGAACTTGACACTTTTCCTCTTATCTCTCTCGCTACGATCGTTGGCACGACTGTTTTGGCTCCCGACAACTGGAGATCCCTGGCTGCTTGAACGACCTGGACTAGTACCAAGCACACTCAGAATACCGCCGGCAGCACGTGAGAATCGGTTGCCGTCTTCTGCGAGGTTGCCATTTCCAAGGTCAGAGGCTTTGAGAGCCTCCCGTACCCCCTCTACTGCTCGACTCTGTGAAACAATGAGACCATCGCCACGCACTCCACCAATCACAGCAGGAGCTGACCCAATGAATTCACTCTCGGGTTCCATTTTCTGATCGTTGCGATGCAATAATGGAATCGTGCTTCTGGTTTGCTCTCGCACTTTTCGCTCCAGTGGCTCCTTCTGTTGATTGCCTAGTATGTCTCGCCATGGGCCAGGAAGACATGCATGGCCGCAGCCATCCAATGGGCAGCATCCTCCACTGAAGGCCTCCCCTGTAACATTGCCTAAGAAGCCAGGCGTGCCAATGTGAACCTCGTCGCCATTAACGTCATCAGAGGGGACCGGTGCATGCCAGCCTTCCATGCAAGCTGCATGGCCACCGTGCTTACAGCCTGGGCAATACCACCAAGTAGACAAAATTGAATCGTCTCCTGTTGACCGCCTCTGTGCAACTCCCTTGGTAAGTGGGATTGGTGGATGCGAAACCACGGTAGCATCCCTATGCTTACATACAGCACAAGGCCCCATCGTGTATCCACACCTCTCACATTTCCAGACCCCAAGGTCGCTGTTCCGGTTGATCTCGCGCGGCTTGTGGCAGTTGGGACATGAGAAGCTAGCCGAGACTCGTTGAGGGTCTTGTGCTGGGAAGAAGATGGAAGTGTAATTATCCCCCCAAACCTCCATACCATCCGGCCAATCAACTACACAGAGGTTGCGTAGCAATGCAGCCTCAATAAAGAATTGTTGCTTCATGAGACGGTCGTGGTGGTGCCGCAATATCGCAGTGGCCATGTGAGAATCAATAATCTCTGCTGGAACCAACGGCCGAAGAAGGAGGATGATGGCGGATGCATTTAGCGCAGAATTTTGAGCTTCATACTCCAGCACCCGTGATAATAGCTCATATGGTCTTAGTGATGGAGCGGTGATTTTATTCTCAACTTCTGTGGATAGCGGGAACGGATATGGAGGATCATCATCCCAAGGCATGTAATCCGTTTCGGTAATGGTAGTCGATGTGTTTTCCTCTGGCTGCTCTGAAGGGACTCGATCATGTGACTTGTTGCGGGGAGACTGTGGTTGCTTGACCTTTGGTGCAATGGGAGAAAGCTCCAGAGATGGCTGGGAGAAGTCATGGAACTCTAGCTGAGATCCTTGGCTTTCGACGCTGTCTACGGTAGTTTGCGAAATCATGAAGATCTCCTGAGATCCAGCCGAATCAGCCTGTTGTAAACTCTGTGGACCGCTGATGCCTGACTCTTCGGGTGAGTCGAGAATCTGCTTGCCTCGGATTCGACTATGATAATCATCCAAAGAAGATGTACTAGAGCCAATTGTTGCATCGGGTCGTCCTGCATCATGTTGCATGCTGTTTGCAACGGAGCTGCCTGCGGTAGGAATCCTGTTTCCATCCGATACTGAGAACATTTGACCAAAACTCTCTTCGGAATCGTGTCTGATTGGCTGGCGTCTTTGGCTGCTTGAAGCTCGAGGCTCCACGTAATCCAAAGACAGCGGTTCCTTCTTCTTGGGAACATCAATAGCATGTGGTATCTCTTCTGCGGCTTCAATATCATAAAAGTCATAACCCTCTGTGCTGGAAATTTGAGAGTTGTGGCTTGCATCAGACAACGGTGCTGAATCATGCCTTTTCCTCGGACTCGTTTGAACAATGTCTCTGTGGAATGCCGGCGGCAATCTGAAGCTGTCCAATTCTTGGACGGGCGTCAAAACCTTACCGGGCACGAATTGGTGGGACTCGGGGACATCTTCCCTAACAGGCCGGGCGATAGGTGTTGGCACATTGGATTCACTTTCAGCATCGCCCAATAAAAATGAATGGCCGAGGCTCGAACGGTTATCCGCCGACCGAATTGAGGAAGCCTTTCTTGGTGTCTCATCACCTCCCACATCGTGCGGCGCTGGCTTCACAAGTTTCTGAAGATTAAGTTTGGAATCCCCTCGACTGATCAGCAACGGAGACTTTGAATTCTTGCGTTTGGCCATTCGTACTTCGAGGTGATACTGCGCTCGCCGTTTCAAGAGCGCAGAAAACGCCTGGGCTAGGATACGCCACGTCTGAGCAAGACGAAGCTGCCCAACACTCTCAGCAGCTCGTGCGTAGTGTTCCATGATACCGCAGACACGAAGGTCAAGGGAAGTCCTGCCCGGGCCGTATGGTAAGTCCAAGAGGAGACAGGTCAGATAATGGTGTGAGAGGAACTGGTAATGCCTCGTCTTCAGAGGCGGGGCGGCCTGCCCAATAGCCATCACCTGGTTGGGCTTGAACCCCTTGGTGATTGCGATTGATTGTTCCAGGGGTATGGTTGGTTCATCGTTGATGGACCCTGAAGGTGGCGTTGAACTCAATGCTGCTGCTGCGGGACGAAGACTGGAGTTTTGTGACCTCTGGCTTCCGGTCGTCGATGGTCCCAAGAAGCTGCCAACGACATCTTCCTCTGAGTCGCTTCGACTATGACTTAACCCCTGCGCATTTGGACTAGAGCTGAAAGAGGAAGTTGGCAACATGTCGTGGGTGGATATCGTGGGATGTGGCCTGCGAGGTTGGGTGCGCTCTTCCAAAACCATGAGCACGTCGCCGGTAGGAGAGAACGCGAGACAAGAGGGTGCTTTGCGATCAATGACTTTGGGAGCATAGGCTACATCGCATTGGACGAACCCGTTAGCCCCAGCGGTCCAAAGAAGATCTTGATCATGCCATAGCAATGCACTGGGTGAGTAATCAAAGCGGTCGATCTCCTTGAAAGGCATGGTTGGACGGCCAAAGTCCCATATATGCACAGGGCTGATGCCATATCCTTTGGTTGGCCCGTCGACATAGGAGACGGCGATCTGCGCTGCTCTCTTACCCCTCGCAGTGGCTGACCACAATGGTGGTCGCCAAGCTACTGAAGAAATAGGGGCGGGCGTTGTGATGCTCCATTTGGGCTTTTGTCTCTTGCTAGCAGTTTCAGAGACATCCCAGATATGACAGGCACTATCGAGACCTGCGCTCAGAAGACGAACGCCGTCAAAGTGCCAGGCGATGGATGTCGCTCCTCTCGTAGGGTCATGGGCATTGATTCTCAATAGTGGCGCGTTGGGTTTCCGTATATCCCATTTGAGGACGGCACCGGATTCAGTTGCGCAGGCAAAGACCATGCCATCCTTTGGAGACCACGCAACATCCCGTATCCCTTCCGCGTTACACTTAAAAGCCTGAAAGGCGCGGTATGTTGCTTGGCCAGTTCGATTGGAGACTGGGTTCTTTGTATCAAAACATCTCACGATTCCGTCCTGGCTGCCCGAAAGAAGCCAGGTATTTCGATGTGGGTTGATATCGAGCGTGTTGATCTGACGAGAGTCCTCACGCATCTGTACGAATTCTAGCCCAGTGCCACCCGGTGCCTTGGAGCCCAGGCGACTGAGGTTGTACTGGAATATCCGGCCATTGGCGCAAGCCGTAAAGATTGTCGGCTCTCCACTGGCATTCGTAGCCCATTTGACATCCTTAATTGACAATTGGTCTGAATTTGTAGTCGATGCGGTCCCCTTGGCAGTCGGTTGCGCAGTGATGGTTGCGCGGACATCAATGCCCTCTTTCACGCTTGATCCATCCACCTGGATTGTCTTTAGAACATGCCGCCCGCCGAGAACGGCGAATTGGCCATCGGGCGATTTGTCTATGCACGCGATCGGCCCACTTGTCGCGTAGTCGGCATCTTGAGATGCGCTCGGCCGGTATGAAGGGACAATTGGTGAACCACTCGGGCCCAGATTGTTGTCGGTGGCGGTCGAGTCGTTGGCCGGCCTGCCCAACAGGCGGCGCAAGCCCTTCAGGTTGCCTTGATTATACATGTCGGCATCGAATCGCTCTGAGCGCCATGGACACACTTAGTCTCAACATCTGGTGCGCGTGGGATTGGAGAGGTGCTCAAAGGAACGCGCTCGTCATTCATGGGCTGTGGCACAAAAGAATCATGGTCGAGTGAAGTACTGAATGCTGATTTCCATCGCAGGTCCGTTGTTGGAGTTGTTATCTTGTCGAGCTTAACAGTCCGAATGTCTAGTGCATTATGGGTCTAGAGCTGCACCACGCCCAAAGTCCGCTGAGCACGCTGAAATCGAGACCTGCTCGCCGCCTGTACCCCGCGATTCTGCCACCAATGGCCGCCCGAAGCTGCAGCAGCTATGCTACAGCTAGTGCTGAGCTTGAGCAGTTCGCGTGCTGCATGCCATGACGTTTCAGTGCATATCATCACCATCCTGACGGCGCGAACGATGCTGGCCTTACTGAGCGATCGGGTGCTTTGATGCGACGTTTGCCGGCCTGTTCATTGTGCAGCACCCTGGTGCAAGCTTTATCCAGAGATCTTACGCATGCAGTCTCGACATTGACAACTCCAAAGGACTGTGTTTGCCAGCAAATGAGATATTTACCGGCGTTCCTGCTGCCGCTTGCAGCTTGTCGCGTCACGAACCATGTCTCTCTCGACTGAGTCGACGCGCCCGCTTCTCCTGCCGCAGAACCGTCGTCTACGTCACCTGCAAGGAATCTACCTACGGAATTTGAGCTTTGTGCGACCACATGGAAAGACGACGGATGATTTAAACCTGGGAAAGGGGTCAACGACAAAGCTTCAGGCCCTCAAGGCCAGCTCGCAACTCCACCATGCGGCATCCTCCGAGTCACTGCGGGATCGACCGACCAAGATTCGACGGCGAAGCACTAATCTTGCGAACAAGAGCCCGGTAATCAGACAGAAGGCCCTAGAAGTTGCCATTGAGAGGCGAGCAGCCGATGCCTTCTTCTCTTTGCACGTCGAAGGCGTCGAGGACCCGGTGTACATCAGCGAGGTTAAGGACCGATCAACGGTATGAGCAACATTGGAACTCTGTAGCAATACGGTTCTTCTAGTCAAGTAAAAGGGAGCTGTTGCTGACCTCGTTTGGAAACTACAGAATTTCAACTTTCGTTTCTTTGATCTGTCACAAGCCCATTCCCACATCACACGATCTGCCGAAGTAGTAGTCAAGATATGGGGAAAACGACAAGACCAATGGCTTCTTTTACTCGACCAAGCAGTCGAATTGCGGCTTCTTAACTTTATGGGAACTCTTCGCAACCAGCATTTCCCTCCCAACTGCTTGGTATTCCACCTGATCGACGGGATTTATTGTCTTGAACTACCGGCTAGAGTACCCGAACCCAAACAAGGCACGCCTCTATCTACTTCATCGTACAATGCGCTGATGAAACTCTCAAACCTTGAAGCATCTATTCAAGACGCCCTCGCAACGCGTGAAGCTTTGACGGCTCAGATCAATGGGATTTTGGAACGAACGCCTCCGGACCCAGTCCCCATGGCGGAAGAAAAGGCCAGGCTGGCGAATAAGTATCTCACAGCTGAGCAACGTTCTCTCAAAGCCGCCGAAGCCCGTCGTGAGGAGTTGAAGCAGTCAATTGCGGCTAGACGTGCTGCCATAGCCGAAGGTTGTGAGGTACAGGACAAGACTGCTCAAGACATTGAAAACGCTGCTACAAAGCTACCAAGTGCTCGTGCTTCGATCATTGATGCGCGGGATAATATCCGTGGTCAACGCCGACGTATCTGCGAAGAACTTGGCCAGATCTTTCCGATTGCAGCGGCATCTTCTGGGGCACCCCTAGCTTTCCAGATCTGCGGCATTGAGCTACCCAATACAGACTATGACCCGACCTTGAACACTGCTGCAGAAAATGCCCTGTCGGCAGGATTGGGCTATGTTGCCCAACTGACTCATGCACTCCAATTCTATCTTGGCGTGCCTCTACCATACCCCATTACGCCTTTTGGCTCCAGGAGCAGCGTTCGGGACGATATTTCTCAAATAGCCGACAAGGAACGTACTTTTCCGCTCTATATACGTGGAGGAGCAACTGCCCAGTATCGATTCGACTATGGCTGGTTCTTACTCAATAAGGACATTGAGACTCTGTGTGCCAGTGCTGGTCTCAAAGTCGTCGATATACGACACACGCTGCCAAACCTGAAATACTTACTCTATGTCTGCAGTGCTGGCACCAATGATTTGCCTGAACGGAAACGTGGTGGCATCAGGGGATTGTGGGCAGGCAAGATGAAAGGCCGCATTGGCACTTCTATAGACGATGGAGCAAGTAGTGCTGGAGGAAGTCGACGTGGAAGTGCCGATAGTGAACTGCTTGATAAGCAAAGAGCTGATTTAAGGAAGCTGATCATCAGTGATCCCAACAGTCATGGTGACCACCGCACAGCCGCCAGCCCAGTGCCTGAGCGGAGCGCATCAGCCCGACTAACTCTTGATGAAGACACCAAATTTACATTGAGAACTAAAGGCTTGAGAGAGAACATCGTTAACTGAGATGTAAATCCAAGGCCAGCAGTCTTCCAAGGTCTTTGGGGAAGACAATTTGTACATATCTGTATGACGACACGAGCGTTGTTTTATATTACGTCCCATATACCCCAACCAGAAAATTGACATGACAAATGAATTCGAAGACTGTTGTCTTTCTCATGGTATGAATTGACTACAGGACGTGATGCATGACATTAAATTATTGAAATTGAAAGGCCAATGTTTAGGTATTTTCCAAGCTAGAGAACCATCACCAAGAGAAGATTGCTGCGCATAATTCCGGGTGGTATCCATGGTTATTTACTCGTCCCTTTTCTCTATTCCAACAGATCTACGGTCGTTCGAAAAGTATTTGCGATCTGAATATAATATCTAGAATAACGCATGATGAAAAAAAAGCATATGCAATGAACTTTGCAACATTTCCCATGGTCTTTGACATTCTTTAGACGGTTGGTGGGCCATCGATCCAGTCGCACTTGACCTCGACTTGCTGTCTCGCCGGATCAATGGTCGAGGTCTAGAGCAGTGGATGTCAGTCTATCAAGTAATCAGGGTAACCTTGGCCTTGGAGTGCGTACCTGGATTCCTGTAACGGTCGTTGTCTTGCCATCATTGCTCTGGGATGAGCAGACGAGGTTATCTGAAATGCCCACCAGGGCTGTCATGACGGCCAGTTCTCCCGGTTGTGCTGTTTCATTACAGGCCCGCGTTAGCATTTTGCCTCATTGCGTGCGTTGCAACATGCTCGCAGAGGTTGTAGATGGGTTCGTCTTACTCAATTGTCTATATCCAGCTCCGACCTGCATGTTGGAGTGCACGGTCGTGCCATCGACGGTGGTGAAGTTCACGGAGCCAATGTATGTCTGGCGAGCTGCGACACCGGCATTGCCGGTAGGGGCGGCGAAAGCAGACCCGCTGGACAAGAGCGCAGCAGCGATGAAGGTTGAGAAGTACATTTTCGAAGAATTAGAACTTTGAGGTTGTATGGGTTTTATGATTGAGGAGAAATGTAATGTTAAAGTGAAGATAATCAGTTACAGCAGGGCTATAGGAGTATTTGTACTTCGGCAGAGACCTTTGGGTCGAATTATAGAATACTATATACCGTCACACTAGAATTGGTGACGGAGCTACGTGACACCCAACAACATTGAATCTACCAAGCATAAAGCATCTGTGAGTTGTCTACTCGGCACTTCTCACGTCAACTTACGGTGGTGGCTATGTCACTAAGGAGTCAGCACTGTGAAAAAGCGAACCCGACAGCGTGGGCGCTATGCCGTTTTAGAGCCCAAGTCTATAGGATCGTCGTCGGGTTAGTGGCGTTCCATGAACACGACGACGCGAAGGAATGTCAGCTGACTCTGGTGTCGCCATAGTGTATCGTTGTGCGACAAGACGTGATTGGGTACCATACCAAAGGAAACGTCGCAGCCTCGTGTCTGCAACGTAGTGGTATTGATGGTCTCGGATCAGTCTCGTACTTGCCCTGAGCTAAAGCTGCTATTTACGGAAGATCAACATTATCACCGACATCTCCGGTGATTCTCAAGTGCTGGTTCTGGAAATGACGTATGCTAGCATTGAGAGCCCGATCAGGCAGTTTTGCTCAGAAAGGGGTCTAGGGTGCATTATCAATTGCATATAGTACTACCTGTTATTAGTAGGACGACCTTTATGTGCCTTGCCAGCAGAAGCACTGATTGAGTATCACTTCATCCGAGGACATCATTGACCCGACCCCTCCGAAAGACTATCTGGAGTCTAAGGCCCTGATGTCTTGGTAAATTACAATTATCTCAGTCAATGTACTGATCGGTGAGTCCATTGCAGACTGAGATCCTGAGAGCACTGTATTCTAAAATTTCCAGTTTCTGGTTAGTCTTGCCTTGCAAGCCTGCAATCGTGAACCTTGGAATCTACCGCCTTTTCTTCCTTTGCACAGTTCACCTACGCAGTATACACATCTCTTGGACAATTACAGAGTAGAGAAGCTGGGAGACTGTTCCGGGCTCTGCTTCAAAATCATCATACAATCAAGTGGCGCTTTCTTAGTTCAGAGCTAAGCTCATGGCGTTTGGAAGTTGGTGCTCTTGAAAGCTTCCGAACCTATGAGGCATTGCGCCGTTGCCGTCTTCCCGTTGAACTGGCCATGGAGGTGCACGCCTAAATCCAAGCTATAAATGGGAAAAACTTACCCACCATGAATGTGCAAAAACTACCGGAAGGTGGAATATTTTGAGAAACCGCAAAATATCACAATTATTCGGTGTAGCTGGGTTCAGTGTACGATATATCTTAGCAATGTACAATGTACGGTGAGCACTGACTGCTCAAGTAGCATCAAGGGAACCATACAATATATAATGCATGCCTCAGCTAGAGAATCCTGGACGATAGCAGGACATGTTTTGCTGGCTCGAGTCTTGAGGACTTTGGCGAGCTTGATCAGGCCCGTTAGTCAGCTTGGTTCTCCGCCCAATCGATCGAGCAAATGCCTGTGCGTGGTCGTGCAAATACCAGAATGCGGCCCGGTGAGCTGCCTCAATGCTGCTGAATGTCCGAAAACCGCGCTATCACAAGGGGTACTCCTTGCGGTTGAATTATTCTACGAAAAGCCATAATGTTCTGTCGGTTCCCAGGCTCAAAAGAGGTAAGGCGGTAATAGTAAATTGTGTATGGTGAACGGTCTGCACAGCGAACATGAGATATGCTACCATTGAAGATGGTGTTGATGTTGTTCCCCACATTCAATACGTATCATGGTGGTGACTCCCAATGTTGGCTTCGTGGCATCTTTGCCCACGTCGCAATGATGAAGAAGTGCCACATTGAAGGTCAAGGGTTCGCATTACCCCATACTTTTCTCTTGTGCATACGTAGTTGACAGATTCGGTGCTTTCAGAACCCACAAATCCGCGTCTCTTGTCTCGTCTGATGGAGAAACAACAGGGCTGAAGGTTTAGCTCTGGGGAAAGAAAACAACGTCAGAAGACGCATAGAAGGCGAGCGTCAGGTACAAACAAGGTCCCCCAACTTTTAACATGAACGACCAGACGCGTTATCGCAGGTCAACTTTGGCGTGACGGCTCTAAAGTTCGGCGCCAATTGTTGTCGAGCCCCGCCAAAATCCCGACGTGCGCCCCACTTCTCCCCCTTTTTACCTTTTGCTAGACCCCTACTCCCCGTCTGTTGACCTAGCAACGGGGCCTCCGAACCACAATATTTCCGTCTCAAAGTGGCAGCCTTCTCCATGGCTATGACAGCACACTCGATAGGTCCACCACAAATTAAGAAGACTTCGCGTCTTTGCCTTTTTTTTTCTTCTTCATACGGACATTCAGCATTGCTTCCCAAAGGACTTCTCCATTTTCCTTCAATTCTCCCCTATTTACTTCTTCTTCTTTTTCCTCGCCAGCACTCTTTTTGGTAGAGTATATTTCCAACCTTATCAGCCAGACTAAAGCTGGTAAGTCCCGAGTAGGTTTGTTGATCGGAATTGGACCCACCCTGAAATTGGTAGTTAGTCCTTCTCCGAGCCTCGGGAGAGAAGAAGTACCAAGAGCAGCAACACTAGCGACATTGAGACGCGACCGAAACATTCAACTCGACCTGATTACACGCGTTCCCTTTGTAGCAAGGATTGAGGGAGGGGGATATCGAGTCGAAACATATCATACACAGCGAAGACGATTCAGACCAACATGTCGGCCAGAGATCCGGGGGCCTCTTCCATCACCGTCGCAGGTAAAGCACCACAAAGCGAAAGATGTCCCCCGGCAAACGATAGTTGACACATTGCCACAGTCAGAGTGCGTCCCTTCACGATACGGGAAGCCGCCCAGGTTCAACGGACCGATGGCGACACTGTCTTCCTGGGAGATGGCTCTCTAGCCGCAGCGCCCACGCCAAAGCTCAAGTCTAGCGGTATCCGATCAATCATCAAGGTCGTAGACGACAGGTGCTTGTACGTGGACACAGCTTGCTCAATGGTGACTTGAAACCCTCGCTAATCATCACTGTCTAAACAGAGTCTTTGACCCGCCTGAAGACAGTCCCGTCCAGAAGTTCTCGAGATCGGTTGTCCCGAACGGCAAAAAGGTCAAGGATCAAGTCTTTGCCTTCGATCGAGTCTTTGATGAGACCATTACACAATCAGAAGTCTACGAGAGCACGACAAAGAACCTGCTGGATAGCGTTCTCGACGGGTACAATGCCACAGTCTTCGCATACGGAGCCACGGGATGCGGCAAGACGCACACGATCACGGGTACCGCTCAGATGCCCGGTATCATCTTCCTCACCATGCAGGAATTGTTTGAGAAGATTGCAGAACGAAGCGACGAAAAGCGCACCGAAATTTCCCTGTCGTACCTCGAAATTTACAATGAGACTATCCGGGACTTGCTGGTGCCTGGTGGTAGCAAGCAGGGCTTGATGCTTCGGGAAGATGCTAATCAAGCTGTGACCGTGCCTGGTCTCACCAGCCATCACCCCAAGGATGTACAAGAAGTCATGGATATGATTGTTCGTGGCAACGAGTACCGAACTGTCTCGCCGACAGCAGCAAACGCGACATCTTCGAGATCCCACGCCGTCCTTCAGATCAATGTAGCTCAGAAAGACCGGAACGCGGCTGTCAACGAGCCTCACACCATGGCCACTCTCAGCATCATTGATCTCGCAGGTAGCGAACGAGCCAGCGCCACCAAGAACAGAGGAGAGCGGTTGGTTGAGGGTGCCAACATCAACAAATCCCTATTGGCTCTTGGTAGCTGCATCAATGCTCTGTGCGATCCTCGCAAGAAGAACCACGTTCCCTACCGAAACAGCAAGTTGACCCGTCTACTCAAATTCTCGCTAGGCGGAAACTGCAAGACAGTCATGATTGTGTGTGTCAGTCCTTCCAGCGCACACTTTGACGAAACGCAAAATACTCTACGATACGCCAACCGAGCCAAGAATATTCAAACCAAGGTCACAAGGAATGTGTTTAATGTCAATCGCCATGTCAAGGACTTCTTGGTCAAGATTGATGAGCAGATGAATCTCATCAATGAACTGAAGGCACAGCAAAAGGATGCTGAGCGACTGGCATTTGTCAAATTCCAGAAGCAACTCGAGAAGAGAGGTTCGGCGGCAAGCGAGGGAGTCCAGCGTATTCGTACGGCTTATCAGAACGCCGAGGCCGAACGACAAGACAAGGTCGCACACATGAAGAAACAGCGAGCGATTGAGAGACGGATTGGTTTGCTATCATCTTGGATAGCTGCATTTGACTCTATTTGCGATGCAAGAGAGGACGAAGATTGCATGCCGGTAAATCTTGTGGCCATGCGCAAGACCGCCCAAGGTATTTTGGTCGAACTTGAACACAGTCGCCACCACATTCATCAAAAGTTGGAGAAGACCAATTGGGAGAGAGCTATTGACTCTGCTCTTCAGCACAGCATCAACCAACTTCCGAGCGGTGACGGCTGTGCAGACACTGGAGAGGTCGCCTCTCTCCAAAGAGAAGCCGAGCTATTAAAGTCTCAATTTGCCCGCGAGGCCTATCGCGAGGTGCTTGAGCAGGATAAGGCTGGAGACGCTGGCATGATGCAAGTGTTGCTAACTGCACAATTCGATATACTTGCATCCCTAGCAGAAACGACTGACATGAATGCCGATGAAGCTGTCGCTCATGCAAAGACGTTCATCAACAGGCTGCTGGATACCGGCTGTTCGGCAGCTTCACACATTATCAAACCTGAGGGCGGCAAGGTGCCCGTTGAAAAGTTTGCTCCCTCCAAGCGAGGTACACCCAAGAGGAAGAAGGCAGTCAACGTCATGATTGACGGAGTCAAGCCGATCCCCAACCCAGCTCTAGCTGCAGTTGTATCAGAGCAGTCACAGCTGCTTGTTTCTCCGGCCAAGGGCTCGCCACGGCGTAGCCGTAGGGTTCAAAATGGGCGGAAAAGTATTGCTTTCACGCCCGTAAAGAAAAAGTCTCGCGTGGTGCGATGGCGTGATGACGAATCCGAGTCTGGCACGATAGCAGATTACGAGAAAACACCCAAGAAGTATCCATCATTGTCACCCCAAAAGTCGCCCGAGAAATCAACAGAGCTCCCTCCCCTCCCCTCCTACCTCAAGGAGGATTCCGCAGAGGAATCTAGTCCGTCTCTCATTGCACCAGAAGCCACCTCTATGCCTCTTCCCAAGCCGAGCCGCTTCCAGGCAGGCTTCTTGTCCAAGACCCGAACATCCATTCCCGGCCCTGGCGGCTCCCCAGTTGCTCCTACACTCTCACTCAACCTCACAGCTTCAGATGATGACCAGACGAGCCCATTGCGAAACCTGGAAAACTCGCGAACTGCCAATAGCCGATCGCCGTCAGGACGCATGTCTCTCAGCCCGAAACCATCGTTTTACTCACCCACCAGCATACCAAAGCCAAAGTCCATTGCCGTCGATGAGAACCAGCCGCCCTACAACTCTAACTCGGACTCGGAAGGCCCCAGCTCCTTGATCGACCAGGCGAAACTGAGATCCGCGCTCCATGCCACCAAACGCCGCGACAGACTTTCGTCACTCGGCACCGCTCCATCGGGTGCAAGACGAGTGAGTTCTATTGGATCGTACCGCGTCTCCTCCATTGGTAGCACCAGCCACAAAAGTGCAAGCTCACATCACTCCGGCGCCACGGCCAGCACCACTAACGGGATCTCCAGAATGAGACGTATTAGCGGAGATCGAGAGAAGAGTCCACCCATCAGTTGTTCGCCATCTCACCTGCCAATTGACGGTGTCCGGTCATTCACGCCTGGTCAAGCACGACGGATGGGCATCGGCGGAAGCGTAAGAGGTACCGCCACTCCGGAACGCGTAGAAAAGGGCTCCAAGAATCGCAGGATAACTATTGGCGGTTCTGCGATGCATTCCCAATCTGCGGCAAAGAGGGGAAATGTGGTTTGGCGATAAGTACTGTATTATAGTTTGAATATGTTCAAAACGGGAGATGGTTGTGAGATATAATTTGCCTTCTTTTGCCCCTGGTTCTTGGGCTGTGGCGTTTTATGGTCTTTTCTTGGCCATTGGCGGCGTCTAGGAGTTCGAATTGGTATCGGACCAAGGTTGCTGTACTATTCTTGTCTGTCTACAGTGGTCCTCTCGGATTAGATGGTCCGGCATTTTTCATGGCAATGCATGCATACATTTATTTGTCCAATATTTGTTGTTTATGAGCGAATGTTGATTTTCAAATTCAATTGCGTCCAGTCCCTTTGCGAGGGTTAAAATTGCAGTGCAACGTGTTTTTTTTGGGGGCCGTGGAAAATGCACCAGTCATAATGGACTACAGGCTGAAGAATTGTTGCCATTGGACGAGTTGATGCATCAAGGCCGCAGATGGTGTGCCATCGGTCGCCCCTCCATCACTGGCCAGTCGAAGTTCCCCACGTCCGTCTTACCTACCAACAATACCAATGACCATGGTATACAATTGCGCTGCTGTGTTTCCTTCATAAGTACTAAGATTGCAGTGAAAATACACCCACAAAGAAATGAACCTCAAATTGTGGTGCCTGCTGCATGCGTTTGTTCAAAGTGTTGACGCCTTCGCGAAAGTCGAAATTGCCATAAGAGATGAGCTTGTGTTTATACTCAGTAGAGCGGCATTCCCTGGATGTTTTTCTTCTGTGGTGCTTCTAATCGTGTGTATACCGTCGGTATGATGCGTGCAAATCATGTATAATAGGTTGGTGAATTCATCGTGGTCTCTTCTCTTCCCTATATGGTTAATAGTATTGCCTATGAGGCTTTCATCTCCTTTGGTGATACGCCACAAGTGGGTGCTGCCTGTGGCTAACCGTGTACATCCTCAATCGAGACTATTGATTACACGGGAAGGGCTTTTTACTCCCGTTTCGCGCGCACGTCAATTTCGAATTCGGAAGAATCTATCTTTGACATTATCTACAGTCTACACAATACGGTTGTAGCACTTGGCTCGAGCACAATGGTCGCTCTCATCTCCCCGTTCTTGAATTTCTATCTTGCTGGAAACGAACAGGATCTGCTCGAGGACGGGGATCTCTCGCTCGTCGTGGATGTGTACCACTGTTGGTCATTACTGCTTTGGAAAAGCTATAACGAGAGCAGGGTGCCTATTATCGATGTCGTCCATGCTGCATAAGGCTAATTGCCGTGATGCCACGAGACCAAAAGACTAAATAGTTAATGTTGTTCTTTCCATCGATTATGTCTGCCCATATTATATCCCCTACCGAGATGAGAACAAATGTGTAAGGTATTGTCATATCGAGCTGGCGGTAGGATGTGCTGAGACTAGCCTGCATTGACCGATGGTTTAGACTATCAGACTCATGAAAAGATGATTTTTTTTTTAGTGTTGAGCGCCGACATGTAGCAATTGATAACGGTTCTACATTCGCTTGATGTGAAGAGAAAATCATTCATTCTAAATCCACGACATAGCCTCCCGAGGACAAGGACTTCGTTGAGGTTCCTGTTCTTGCTTGTAGCTATTGCTACGATGCTCAAATCCAGGCAAAATTTGCTATCCTGCAGAAAATCCGTCACAACGAGCCATATGATCCTCAGATGCGGCATTGCACATTGTCGTTACGCCCAAGGATGTTTGATAAGCTAGCTGGAATGTTTGATAAGCTAGCTGGAATGCTTTCTCTTGAGACCTTGTCGCCATTTGAGCACGGATTCTTGCAACCACTTGATGTCGTCAGCATCCAGATCCGCCCCGTCGTTTCTTGATTTCACCCAGTAGACTTTTCTCCCCCCAATTGTTATACAAGGCTTTCCGTCAGCAAGCCAGTAAATATGCTCACTGAAGCTAGTCTGTAGGGAGGCCTCGTACATCCACTGCATGTATTGTTTCAACACCGTAAATGGAAGTGCTTCTTGTTTCATCATGACCTTAAAAGCTGTTTCTGAGGTAATATAATTACCCAAGTGGGCCGCAATGTTGGTAAGAATTTCATCGCTAAGCTGCGACCAATTTCCAAATGCTTCGAGAGCTCCTTTTCTGGATGTCCAGTCCGTGTTTTCCAGATGATCGCTGATGGCTCCGAGAACTTTATTATTAGGTTGAGGCCGGGTGTGGAAGAACATGGCCGCTGTACTACTGATATTTGAAGCTCCCATATAATATCTTGAATTCCTGTCGCTTCTGCCATCTAGCTGCTCAGCAACGACGAGAAGAATTTCATCGTCAAGTCCATCCCACTTGCCCAAAGCGTTGAGGAGTGCTGCCCTTGTCTTACCCCATTCGTCTTTAAAATCAGGCAACTTAAGGACTGACACCATGATCTGAATGGTATGGTCCTTGGGCCGTGGTCGGTTCTGAAGTACCTCAGCGGCTGCGACCCGCACTCTAATTTCTATGCTCTCCACTGATGTGGGGGTGCTGGAGATGCCTATTAAAAGTGGCTGTGGAGGCTTAGCTTAAAGTGGCTTTATAAGTCCCTTCGGGACTTATAAGCCTTTATTTTTCGTTGCGTTTAGTATATAGGACGATTTATCGTTTTTTTTAATTAAAACTATTCCCATATATTTTAAGATTTTATATGCTATTTAATTAAAAACCATATAAAGGCCATAACCTTACGGCTATTTATTTTAGGTGGGGTTGGTTTAGTTTGGTTTTTATTCCTTATTTTAAATAGTGCTTAACTATAAAATTAAACCTTTCGTATATTAGTATAATTATACTTATACGCCGACGATACGACTACGCACGATAACTTTTTATAAAGCATTTTTAATAAAATAAATTTAATTAAAATAATAAAAATATTTTTTCGTAAAAATAAAAAAAACCCCGATAATTTGCCCTTTTTAGCCTAAACGGAAATGCCAAAAATCTATTAATACCTAGCTAACTACGGTAAAAAAAGAGCCTTTGCTCTTTTTATACGCATAAAATAGCCGGATCGGCGTAATATAATTACGAGCCTAATTATATTAAATTATAGCTATTCGGTTATTAATATATCGATAATATTTTTATTATTAATACGGCATTTTTAATATATAGTATTTTAATTATTTTTATCCGCAAAAAAAAAAGGATATAGGTTATCCGGTTATTATATAATTAATTTATATCGCTTAAATATCGGCATTTTAGACCTATTTATATAATATATAACGAATTTTATTATTTTAATTTAATATTTATTAGATACGAATATTATTAAAACTTTATAAAATATATTTATTAAATATAAAAGGGAAAATTAATTAAATAATTATTAATTTTAAAAATAGGGCCTAAAATTATACGGTTTAACCGGTATTTTTAATTTAATATTTAATTTTATTATTAAACGAAAATATTACTAAAAAACTAAATATAATTACTAAATATAAATTAGAAGCTAGTAAATTAATTAATAATAATTAAAAAAAGCTTGAAAATTATAGGATTAAATAACTAATTTTAGTAATTATTTTAAATATATTCCGGAAATATAACCCCGGATAAAATAAAAAACTAATTATAAATATTAATACTAAATATACGATAATTATACGATAAAAAAAAACCAGATTTAATCCGCGATATTATTTTTATAATTATTTTAATTAATTTTAAATTATATTTTATTTTTTACTTTTATTTAATTTAATAAATTAAATATTTACTATATTAGATTTTAATATTAATCCTTTTAATAAAAAGCCTATTATTTCGGCTATTTTTTTAAATAATATTAATAATATATTTAGAATTTAGTAATTATATAATTAACGTTAACCTATTTTTTAAGCCCTTTCCTTCGCTTAAATTTTTGCTTATTATATTCCGATTATTCGGATGCATATAATTGCTTTTAGGGTTAATAAATATTTTAAATTTAAATTTAATAGCAAAAAAGCAATATCTTTTTTTAAAGGTATGAAAAAACTATTTGACTCCTATGCTATAATTAATTAAAATATACTAAAAAAGCTGTTTTATTAAAGCGTTAATAAAGTTATAAAGGATCGTATATAAATAGCTATTAATAAATGTAAAATTTAGTCCGAAGCTAAAGCTAAAATTAAAATAACCTTTTGTATCGGAAATATTAAGCAGGGACGTATTTTAAGAGACCGATTTCGCGATTTAAAACGCGGTAATCTTATTAAAAATCTTATAATAATATATAGCTATTATTTTAATTATAAAGCTCGCATTTTAAAATTCTAAAAAGCTAAATAAAAGCCTATCGATTTTAATAAAACTAAAAAATTACTAAAACGTATTAATCGAAATGTTATAAAAGGCATTTTAATATAATACTCTATTAGGGAATATAATAAATTTTTTAAACGTAGGTATTCCGAGGTTACGGATATATTTAAAAAATAAATTGCTATAAAAATTAAAATTAATAAGCATAATACTTAAGTTATTTATATTCGAATTTTTAAGAGCTTAGTTAATTCCGCTATTATTATTAATAAATTTTTAAATGATATTAAAATTAGTATAGCTAAAGTTATTAATAATATTTTTAAAGGTAATAAAAGCATAAAGCAGTTTATTAAAAAAATAACTAAATTTTAGTTATATATTTTATAAAAAGCTAAAAAAGTCTTTAATTAAGGTAACGGATTATTTTACCCGTAGGCAAATATTATTAATACCGTCTTTATAATAAATTTAAATTTATATAAACGCTTCCTAATTTATAAATTTACCCCGTCGCCTTAAATAAAAAAGGTAAAAAATCGATTAGCCAGCTTTTTTTTAGTAAATTATTACTTTTATAAATTTAGCTATTTTATTTAAAAATACGCTAAACGCCGGATATTTTACGACGATAAATTCTTTTTATACGATTTTAAAATTAAAAAATATTTTTATATAAATCCGGATAATTCTTTTTCGGATATAGCATTGCTTTAAAACTTAGTTAATTAATATAAAAAGCTTAAATAATATATCGGTTTTACCGCCGCTTATTATATATTAAATTATAAAAACGCTTTTATTATATATTATATAATAAAAGCCGAATACTTCTTAAAATAGGCTAGCTATAATATTAATAACGAGGCTATAAACGAAAATACTAAAATTATAAAAAAAAATACCGCTAATAATATTTATACGCGAATTAACGTTATTTCGGTTATAGCTTTTAATTAATTAGTTAAATACCTAAGCTAAGCTAATATAAATAAATACCGATATTAAAAGCTATTTAACGGAGGCCTTGCTTTTTTTATAATAGATTCGAATATTATTAAATAAATAGAAAAATATTTAATAAAAATATATAATATTATAAAAAAGCGAAAAATCGCTTGTATTTACGAACCGGATAAATTTAATATTATTAATATTATATATATTATACTAAGATAAAATAGCGATATTTTTTTTCGCAAACGGCTACGAATAAAAGCGCGACTTTTTTATTTAATTAAGCAAAAATAATATCTAAAAAACCGGTTAATTAAAATGCTATAATAAAGCCTAGCATTACTTTTTAATAAAAGGCCGAAATAGCTTAAATCTAACCTAAAAAATAATTTAATATTAAATAAGAATTTTTCGATAAAAAAATAAAAAAATTCCTAAATAAATCGCTTTTAATTTTTTATGCTTAATTAATAGATTTTATACCTAAATATAAAAAAGGCTTAATTAAGGCCCTTAATATTTTAAAGCATATAAGTAACTAAAATTATACGGAAATATTATATTTTTCGAATAAAGCGTTATTAAATTAGGATTTTTATTTTTTTTCGAAAGCTATTTTAATTATATTTATTAATACGATTAACGCTAGTTTTCTTATTAATTAAAACGGATAAAAATTATAAATATAAGCATTTTTTATCGACGGACCTTAAATTAATAATATTTAATTATACGGTAGCTATATTAATATTTATAATATAGATTTTTTGCCCGAAATTATAATTATTTATATTAGGGATTTTATTAGTCCGTTACCTAAAATAGCCGTTTGTATTAAACCTATTAATATAAAAAATATAATTATTAGATTAATTAATACCGGTGCCGAAATTTTTATTATTTACTTTAAATACGTAAAAAAATACTTTATTTTTATAAAAAATTATAATATAAAAATATAAAGCTTTAAAAAAAAAGCTAATATACGTATAATTAGCATAATCGAATAACTAATTTAAATCGCTAATCGTAATATTATACTTCTAATATATATAATCCCTAATACGAAATTAAAAAATAAATTAATCCTCGGTATAAATTTTATTTAAATTATTCGTATAAATATAAGCTTTTAAAATAATTATATAATCGGAAATATAGCCTTCGGAAATAGCAAAATTATAATGCGCATTAACGATTTAACGAAATTTAAACCTATATTTAAAACGGGTTTAATCGTCGAAATACTTTTAAACCTAGGTATTTTAACCGTACGCAAAATTAACGTTATTAAAAGTATTATATATAATTAAATTAAAAAAAAAAGGTACCTTTTTTAGCTAATAAGGATTACGTATAAATTTAAATTAATTTATTAAAGGAACCTTTGTTTAATATTATATACTAAATTATAGGCTTTTCGCCGATAATTATAAATGCTATATTTTTATATAATATCGAATTTAGTTAAAAAAATATAATTTATAAATCGTTTTTAAATAAAGAATTAGTTATGCTTTTAAATGCTTTATTTATATATAAATATAAAAAGGCCGTCGATATTAAAATTCGTATTTTGCGATAAATTAATATTATATATAAACCTAAATTTAAAAAAGTTATATTTATTAATAATTAACCTAAAAAAGGTAAGGTCTTTCCCGGAAATATAAACTAAAAAAAGTATAAATAGGCCAAAGCTTTAGAAACCATAAAACCGTAAAATGCGAAAAGGCTTTTATCTAAAATTATACTTAAATAATTTAATTTAGCAAAAAAAAAGCAGATTTACTCCTAAACGCCTAAATAAATTGCTTAATAAAGTTAATTTTTATATAATTAATTAAGAAAAATAAATGCTTTTTAAGATTTTATTTAAAAAAAAAGGGGTATTAATATAAAATTTTATAAAAAATAGCAAAATTAAGGATATTATTACGTTATTATATAAAATCCCGATTATCTTTTATAAGGCCTAATAATTAAAAAATATCCTTATACCTAAGGCTTTAATGCTTAAGGTAATCGAGCTTTTAAAAGCGAGGCAATTAGTATAAATAATAAAACCTTATTATAATATTTACTAAAATATTTAGTTTTTGGTTATAAAAAAGGATAATAGCCTTCGCCTAATTAATTCGGTAATTAAATATAATATTATTACGAAAAA